ATGACATGGGAAAGATGAGAGAATTACTGATGGGAAAACAAAACAAAAAAAGATGAACACAGGAGGTGAAAGGGAGAGATGGAGAAAAGCCCAGAGGCTGGTTTGCCTGACCTCAAGGGCAGCTCCCACTGGTGTAGGGGAAGCAATGGAGCAGCCTTTGAGGGTGAGATGAGCAGGGAAAGATGCAAACTCAGTTTTTCTGGGTGACAATGATTTTCCACACTGCCTCAACATTTCTAGAGAGATTTTTAAATTAAAATGTTTCAAATTTTGAATTCTGAAACATATCTGGCCAAAAAGTTTTCAGATAAGAGATTGTGGACCTAGCACTAATTTCTGAAGGTGTGGCAAAGAGCTTTTTCTCTCATGGTACATAACGTGCTCTGCTCTGGATAATGTTAAAATGTGCTTACGAGATAGAGCTCTTAAACCAAATAATAAAAAGCTACCCCTATCAAAAGATTTTAATTACTTGTGATTTCTGTTTTGGACTATTTTTCTTTGAATGCAACTTCTTGCAGGAATGGAAACTCAAGGGATATAGTTTTTGTGGGTACCATATAGGGGATTAAGGCTGGAATAGAAGGACCACTACTACAGTGGGGTTCAATAGCATGGCTGAGGATGCTGTTCTGGAGCTTAGGTACAAAAACGCTATCTTGCAGAAGGCCAGTTCCAGGATGGCTTTTGTGACTGACTTCACCTAGACGTGCCCATCCTTCTGTATGTGGCACCTCTGCCACAAGAGGGAAGGAGCTAACAGTGGTCATCTGTTGATAAGTTTCTCCATACTTAGATTCTAAAGGAATATCGTTTATGGAGGGTCTATTCCACCAACTCTGCTAACTGCTAGCTGTGGGGTCTTGGGCAAGATATTTGACTGCTGTGGGCCTGTTTCCTCATCTGTGAACTGGGGATATTAACATTTGCCTCATAGAGTTGTTCTGAGGAATAGATATGTTAATACACATGAAGTGATTAGAACTGTGGCTAGTAATAAGGGCTCAGTAAATGTTAGCTATTATTACCTTTTCCTTGATTATCATTAATACATTATTATGATTACATCTTCAGGTGTATCATCTAGTTTCATTCTAAACAATTGTGCAAAGTGGGAATTACTGTGATCTCCTCTTATAGGTAAGGAAAAGGAAAGCCAAGAAGGTGAGAGCTTTGAAAGATTCCAGGCCAGATCTGACCTCAAAGCCTGTGCTACTCTCTCTAGGACGCTGCCTGCAGTTGAAGCCTGTTCTGTGTCTTCTCATCCTTTTGCACACACCTAATACAATGCTGCTCTTGAGGAAGAGAATCAGGATAGCGCTGAGGGGTGTGAGCCCGGCCGCACCTCAGACTCTGCCGCTCCACCCCCACCGGCGCCCCCGCAAGGCTGCAAGTGGTATTGCCACTGCTGCCCTCCGGGAAAGAGGGGTCTTTGGTGCCACACAGAAGAGGTTCATTTTTCCCCAGGGCAGCACCACCAGGCACAGCAGCTACCTGGAGTAATCTGGCAGGTCTGGGTAGCCACGGAGAACTTCATATTCCCCCTCTTTGCCACCGTCGCTGTGCATTCCCCTGTAGCCTAAGAAGAAGAAGAAAAAAGGATTAAAAAAAATATTTAATCTTTCAGATGAAAGCCACCTAGTACTATTGCTAAATACTACTTTCCTTTATAAAACCTTGTCAAGGGCTTCCCTCGTGGCACAGTGGTTGAAAGCCCGCCTGCCGGTGCAGGGGACGTGGGTTCGTGCCCCGGTCCGGGAGGATCCCACATTCCGCGGAGCAGCTGGGTCCGTGAGCCATGGCCGCTGAGCCTGCGCGTCCGGAGCCTGTGCTGCGCAATGGGAGAGGCCACAGCAGTGAGAGGCCCGCGTACCGCAAAACAAAACAAACAAAAAACAACCTTGTCAAGATTTTTTATGTTTTCTAGCAGAGTTTTGAGACACAAGAATGAATGTTTTGCAGCCTAATCATTATTATATACAAGCCACTGATATTCGTGAAATATTGGAGGAAAGGCAGTTTAAATGGCGAGGTTTTAAAGTATGAACCTTTGTGTTGTTTTTTTTTTGCGGAACGTGGGCCTCTTACTGTTGTGGCCTCTCCCGTTGCGGAGCACAGGCTCCGGACGCGCAGGCTCAGCGGCCATGGCTCACGGGCCCAGCCACTCCGCGGCATGTGGGATCTTCGCGGACCGGGGCACGAACCCGTGAACCCTGCATCGGCAGGCGGACTCTCAACCACTGCGCCACCAGGGAAGCCCTGAATCTTTGTTTTGAGCCCCAGAGATATTTCTATTTCATCAAGATGCACACAGTGCCTGAGAACCAGCCTGCTAAACTGTCCTCTTGATTTACCTTTCAATTTCAGGGTTCAAACTGCATACAGGAAGCCAGGGTTTTGACATTGAAGAGGTGGCTCCCTGGACTGGGAGGAGAGTGGCTTGCCTCTCCCTCAATTATGGCCCAGCAAGAAGCTGTGCTGTGCCAGGGCAGGGTAGGCGTTAGGTTAAGAGAGCCCTTGGTAAACTTGGCCGAGAAAACTGGAGGCTCGGAAACTGTCAACACACTCACAGCTTGTGCAGAGTCATTGTAGTCACAATCCTGCCAGGTTTTGTCACTTTGAACAGGACAGTTGCCCTCCTTGATTTGGTACTTGAAGGAATAAAACGTGTCAGGATCATCCTGAAAAACAGCAACCAAAGATACGTACGGTTCATCTAACTGACCCAATGGCAAATCATTTGAGTGGGATCTGGTGCAGTTATATTTGATCTTGATTTGATTCAATGAAGGCAAAAACATTTATTAAAAATATTGAAAGTTTATAAATATTTACTTGGAGGAATGTTCATAATATACTATTTACAAATATATATATATATTTAAATTTCAAAGCAGATCCATAGTTTTAGCCCATTTTTGTAGAAACCAATTTATATATAAATATATATAAAATTTTTTTTTTTAAGTCTGGAAAATTACGCAGCAAAGCTGTTAAAATGTGTGTCTTTCAGTGGCGGGAGTACAGTTCTCTTTCACTTTCTTCTTTCAACAAACATTCCTGAATTGTCTATTTTTTTTGAACAAACATATTATTTTTACAGTTAGAAAACAAACCAGAAACGTTTTTTTCATTAAAAAAAAAGTAACAGTTATCTGGATAGTGGGAATAATTTTGGGTAATTTTAGTATTTTTATTGGCATTGTTTTGTTTTCTATTTAGTATAGCATGACGTGAAATAACAAATTAAACTTTTAAAGTATAAAGGTGCTGATTTAGATGAGCCTTCAGATGCAACGTCCTGGTGTGTCAGAACAGCAAGGGACTTCAGAGGGGATGTTGTCCATCTTCTCAGTTTGCACGTGAGAGAAAGGAGGCCCCAGGTAGATGGCGTATGCCTTAGGCAGCCTCCCCACCTTGGAAAGGCAGAGCCAGCTCCGGATGGCAGGTCTCCTGACTCACCAGGCAGTGCTCTCTCCACAGTGTTTGCATTTGGGAGATGATGGAATCAGACAAGATAGACTCTTCTAGTTCCTTCTAGGTCTCAGATTTTAATAAAACCTAAGTGGTCATGGTACAGGCAGTCCCCACACAGCAAGGTAGAGATAAAGAGTGATTCTATGGACATCTTAGAATAAAAAACCACATTTGCCATGGATGTCTGCCAATAAAGACTACAACCATACTAGAGAACACTAGGACTCACAGGACTACACAAATTTGTGAAACAGAAAGGCCGGACTTTCAGAAGACAAACAAACAAAAACATATCTACTGGGCTTTTTCCTTTTTCCTTATCATATCAAATACCTGGGGGTTTTTTCCACCAAAGTAATCAATTGCTTAACTATCACAGAAATACAATGTTTTGTAGTGAAATTCACTTAAACAAACTATTGAAAAGATTTGTAATTCTTGAAGTCACATACGCTGTCAGGGTTTGTCTCCATCCTGAGTGCATCGATCATTGATTTTAAAAAAGTGCTAAAAATCAAGTAGAACATGGCTGTTACCTTGATGCATTCAGCCATATGGACTTCATGGTAGGTATTTTGTCCAATGCAGTTGAACCAAGTTAGTCTCATTTCTGACTCCTCTTAGACAAACCTTCCCTTTCCCCTAGCTTAATTGAGGTATAATTGACAAATAAAAATTGTATATATTTAAGGGGTACAATCTGATGAACTGAAACACATGTATATTGTGCAATGATTACCACAAACAAGCTAATTAACACACCCATCACCTCACATACTTATATTTTTGTGGTGAGAATACTTGAGATCTAGGCTTTCAACAAATTTCAAGTGTACAATAAAGTATTATTAGCTATAATCACCACACTCTACATTAGATCCCCAGGACCTATTCATCGTATAACTGAAAGTTTGCATCCTTTGACCAGCGTCTCCCCATTTCCCCCACCTCCCAGTCCCTGGCAATCGCCATTCTACTTTCTGTGTCTGTGAGTTTGAACTTTTAGACTCCACACATAAGTGAGATCATATCATACTTGTTAGATGTACCCCTTTAAGAACCCATTTCCCACCTGAGGTCTGGAGGTCTTCATATTTTTGTCTAGGACTGGTCACCCAGTAAATCCTCCTCCTGCAGCCTGACCGAGTTCCTGGATTCTCCCACTCTGCACAGTCCCTTTAAAGTTTCTCCATCTACCTTTGTTTCATTTCACCCTAGGATATGCTGCTCTGATCACCCAGGAGGAGTCATACATTTCCCTTCACCCCCAGGCCAGAGAATGGTGTTGGTCTTTTCTAAGAGCTGTAAGCTTCCCTTCGATTATCAGTTCTTTGGTGATTGGGGTGCGTGTGTGGCGTGAGGCCTGGGCTCCAAGTGACAGCACAAATCCCCAATGACCTCAAGGTTAAACACAGCTCACTCACCGTCTTGATGACCTCAGTTACGCGGTACAATACAAATTGGTTGCCATTTTTGTTTCCACTGTTATATTTCTTCAGAGCAGTGTCCACAGCTTGAAATACATCCTGGTTGTTGCAGTCGATTTCTTGGGAGGACTCCTGGGTTAAACTTGGTAGCAGCCTGGAGCAAAGAAAAAGGATGGTGATTAATTTCATGATTAAAGTCTCCCTCTGGGAGTTTCACCAAGAATTGGGAGCCAATTAAGATGCTGATTTTAACTATCTTCAGCCTCTATTTCCTCCGGGCTCTCCTCTGGCTGCTGCCTCCGTGCTCTGGGGGCCTGGCTAATTCCTGCTGCCATGCACTATTTGCTTATTCCAAAAGGACAAATGGCCCTGCTGGGTAATCCAAGCAGATTTCAGGCTGAAACATTACAACACTGGGGTTGTTGACCTGCTTGTTTGCATTTGGGGAGCATGTGGGAGCACAGAACACATTTCCTGGTGATTGCACAACTTTGTCTAGCAAATCAGAGCAGACTCTAATAAAGGAAGAGAAAAAACCACCAACTACCTCTGTTATTCCCTCGTGACTTTCCCAAAGCCATTTATGAAGGTCACTGCAGGGGGCAACAATGCAACTGTAGATACAATGTGCAGACACCTTTCAATAAAATTGCTCTGCATGTTAACTTCTCTAGCTGCAGGGAAGCAAGCTGCCAGCAATCATATTGCGTGCCTGGGGAGCCCATGCACAGTGACGTAGTAAGTGCTGGGGGTCCTACACCAGGATATTGGTGCAACTAAAAATAAAATATGGACATCCTTTCTGTCTGTGTTCAAGCCAGCCTCTCTCCACTCACTTGCATTAGTTCTAGAATGGAAAATGCTCCCCAGGGTGGAGGAGAGAGAGGAGAAGCATAAGAAGAGATGGGTTGGGTGAAGCCCTGCATCCCCAGGCCTTGCTTCTGGCTTGGTGTCTTTCACTACCAAGCCTCCGCCACCTGTCTGAGAAAGATGGACGATTCGGGGAGAGGTGGTCTAAGACAAGGGCTAGCCCCTAGCAGAAGTTTGCCCTCAAGTCTTGTCCCCTCCCTCACAAAAAAGGTGTTTGACTTCTTTGTTGATAGGGTCTCTAGCTTGGCAATTCGGTCTCCCTGAGAGCCCTTGGAAAAGAGGGGTCAATGTGGGCTGAATGGCGGCCTTGTAGTGGAGTGGCAGGAACATTTCACTTGACAGTAATCCAACCTTGATTCCAATCTAGCTCTGCTCCTTAATTGCTCTGTGTTCCTGAGCAAGCCAGGGTCATATAACCTTTCTGAGCTTCAGTTTCCTCCTCTGTTAAATGTAGAATAGTATCTTCATGGGTTTTTTTTTTTTTTTGAGGAGTGAGTGAATTAAGATATGTACAGGGCCTGGTAATTAGTTCTTATAAATTATAAACACACTTAGAGTGGGATGGTTAAGAATCCCTGATTTACTGAAGTGGTTTCAGGTGCATGGTGATGGCAGAAGGTAGATTCCAGTATGTGTGTATATTGAGGCGGGGTCGGGGGTGGTGTAGGAAAAAAAAAAAGCTAGAGGTGAAAGAGACTTAGGTAAGTTCTTAGGCTGGGAAGAAGGAGAGATGTGCAAAGATGGAGATGCTGAAGCTGGGAGAGTGAGCTGAAGCTGGGAGAGTGAGTGGCTGAAGGTGCACGGTCCAGGAGGACTCGGAAAGGAATACAAGGCTGATCATGGTGATGTTTCAAGTGAAGACTCAAAAACCGGACTTGGAGGAAGGTGCTCAACAGACACAAACTTTCAGTTATGAGATAAATAAGCACTAGGGCTATAATGCACATCATGGTGACTATATAGCTGACACTCCTGTGTGATATATAGGAAAGTCATTAAGAGTAGATCCTAAGGGTTCTCGTCGCAAGAAGAATTTTTTTCTTTTTTTTAAATTGTATCTGTATGAGATGATGGACGTTAACTAAACCTACTGTGATCATTTCACAATTATGTATATCAAAGCATCATGCAGAACACAAACTTACACAGTGATGTATGTCAATTATTTCTCAATAAAACTGACAAAAATTTAAAAACACAGGACTTGGCAGTGTATACAGGAAATATAATAAGTAGCAAAGAATGTGACTTTGGAGGAGGCTGATCTGGGTTGTAATCCCAGACCCACAATTTACTGACTGTAAGATCCTAAGAAAGGAATTAAACGTCTTTGGGCCTCATCTTTCTTCTCTAAAAAATAGTAATGGTGGCAACCCATTTTTCTTTCCTCCTTGGAATACAGCTAGACTTCATTTCCTGGAGCCACAGTGTTGATACTCTAAGTATTCAATAACTAATATGACGAAAGCACTGACCAATCAGACCAGATACAACAACCAGTCAGAAGAGTCACCAGCCATAGATAACTAGGGTGGCACCTGCTGAACGCCAGCCCTGCAGAATCACATTCCTCCATGAAGGCATGGACACAGGGAGTGGAAAAAGGTGAAATCCAGGAAGACCAAAAAAACATAGCTTAATAACCCACAGAAGCATTTGAGCAGTGTTTTATAATTTTTATTAAGTCCTTTCACAAATATTGCTTGAGTTATTAAAACTATTTCCTGGAAAACATAGGATTGAATGCTCTCAATTTATTTCAATTAAATGCATTCATAATATGCAAATAGTTGCTACAGGTGAATAATGGGGTAAGAAAGGATTCCTACTTACTTTAGGGATCTTACATTGTTCTAGAGGTTTAGACAATATACCATTGATTGCTCCTTTTCTAGATTTTTGTTGTTGTTGTCATATGATAGCTAAAAAGTATACGAATGCTTCTTTAATGTTTGTTATAATTAGTAAATTGTGGGACTGGGATTAGAACTCAGATCAGTGTCCTTCAAAGTCACTCTTTCCTATCAGTTATACACCTGTATACACTGTCAAGTCCAGTTGTAACTGAACAGGACCCTTTGTGGCCTTCCCAGAACCAGACCCCCACCGCATGTCCTCTGCCTGCCTCTTGTTTGTAAAAAGGTTTTAGTCTCCTAGACCTTCCCTGAGTTCCAAAGACAGATTCAAACAGTTACCAACTAGGGAAGTGAGGGAATGCAGAGGAAGAAAAATCAAGTCCGACATAATCTTATCCATGACTATTAGTTTAAACTAATGCCTTTATTTATGACCCCAAACTGTCCTGTGGCTTTAACCAGCTGGCTCCAAGCGGGCTTAAAATTGATGACCCTGGGAGGGTCAACTAAGAATTGAAACTCCTGAATCATCACGAAGGCTCTAAGAAATAATAAAATGCCTCAACCATCGCTGTTGCTCTCTCCTAGAAAGAAGTTAAGGGATCACAAGACCACCATTGACTAATTTGCTTTGCAGGAACACATAGATCAATCACAATCACCAAGAACACATCAAGTCACAAGATGGCGCCAGGATGTCTGCAACTGAGGTCTTATCAGGAAGCGAAAATCACAAAGATCCCCTCCCCTTTACTTGTTTGTCTTTCAGAACCTTGTACCCCGGCCAGCCAGGAAGATAAATTTGAGAAAAGTCCCATCTTCCACGCTGGCGCCTCCTCAACTAATAAACCTTTCTCTGATCCAAACTCTGACATTTTTTTTGGCTTCACAGTGTGTCAGGCACACAAACTTAGGTTCAAAAACACTGTTTTTGAGTTTTCACTTGAAACACCACCATGATCGGCCGGGTATTCCTTTCCAACTCCTGGACCGTGCACCTTCAGCCATCCCCTCACTCTCCCAGCTTCAGCTTCTCCTTCTTTGCGCATTTCTCCTTCTTCCCAGTCTAAGAACTTAGTTGCTTTCACCCTTAGCTTTTTTTCCTACCCCACCCTGCAGCCCTGCTGTTAGAATCTACCTTCTGCCAACACCACACACCTGAAACTGCTTCACTAAGTCATGTAGAGAGAATCTAAAGTCTTAGTAGCCTGTGTCTATGCTTGAGACTTGATTTGGGAAGAAGGAGAAAGAAAGAGGATTCAAGTGTGAGAAAGGAGTCTTTTGAGCAAAAACGAATAAAGAGAAGTTATCTGAGACTAGAGTGTCCCTAGCCTGAGGAGAAGATAAGAGAAGAACAGAGGACTTGTGAAGCAGAGGACACCTCTTCCTTGCTTTCTGGGGCTGTAGCTTGGAGGCAGCAAGATCTCAGGGAGACACCAGCCATATGTTGTCTCTTGGCAGTCATGTCCATTAGCATCTTACGGAGACTCCTATATCCCAGTTTGGTACAGAAGAAGCAGATAAACGAGACCTAAAGAGAGATGTGAACAGGGTAGTAAGCATCCCTCAGCCAGGGGACCTGGTGGATTAGTGATGAAGAATCAGACCTCCGGGTTTCCCTGGTGGTGCAGTGGTTGAGAGTCCGCCTGCCGATGCAGGGGACACGGGTTTGTGCCCCGGTCCGGGAAGATCCCACATGCCGCGGAGCGGCTGGGCCCATGAGCCATGGCCGCTGAGCCTGCGCGTCCGGAGCCTGTGCTCCGCAACGGGAGAGGCCACAACAGTGAGAGGCCCGTGTACTGAAAAAAAAAAAAAAAGAATCAGACTTCCTTCTCATGCCCACCACCCAAACACCTTGGCACTATGAGAGTAAAACTCTGGCACCACTTCGTGTGGGAAGTAGCAGGAACTCCAAGAAGGACTGAGGTTAAATTTCCCATTAGCTCAGTTACGACATCAACATGAAATCGAAATTAATTTGTTCCAAAAAACAAATGGGCTGGAAAAAACAAGTGAAAGAGAATTTGGGTCCCTTTTATAAGAATAATCCTTTAAGTGAGAATACATTCCTTCTTGGTAGGCCCAACCTCAGCATAAGTACTAGTAGAGAAAAGACACTAGAATTAAAGGAGTTAAGTTCAGGAAGAAAGAAATTCTGAGGATCAGAGATTTGCCTCAAGTGATGTAATAGCCAGTGATGGACTTAACTTCTAATCTGTAGCGCTGAGATCTTTCCTCTCCTTTCCATTTGTCTCCCTCTTCTCATGCCATTTCCACCCCCACTCACATTTTGCCCTATGCTGAGTATGAATATAAGGTTAAAATAACTTGTCTTTTTGCATTTATTACTGGTCACATTTTATTTATGTTTCTAATCTAGGACATGATTCATTTTTCCCAACAAGGAAATCAGATTTTACTTATTTTTTTATTATTACTTTTTTTAAAATTTATTTTTGGCTGCATCGGGTCTTTGTTGCTGCATGCGGGCTTTCTCTAGTTGAGGCAAGCGGGGGCTTCTCATTGTGGTGGCTTCTCTTGTTGTGGAGCACAGCCTCTAGGCACGTGGGCTTCAGTAGTTGTGGCCTGCGCGCTAAGTAGTTGTGGTACACAGGCTTAGTTGCTCCATGGCATGTGGGATCTTCCCGGACCAGGGATCGAACCCATGTCCCCTGCATTGGCAGGTAGATTCTTAACCACTGTGCCACCAGGGAAGTTTGGAAATCAGATTTTATTTTAGAACTGTATATGCAAAAAAACTTTGAGATTTGTAGAAACTCATTCTTGAATTCTCCTGGACATGATTCAGAGGCCTGAATCTCTGGCTGTAGGGGATTATTGTGGTTTGGCAATGAGAAGCTGGGAAAATAGGCTTCGGGAAGAGGGAGAACTTCACCTTTCTTTAGTGGAGGGAGTCAGTGAACATATTCAATTTGTCTCCAATGGAAGGTCCTTTACCTGGACCTCTTTCTTCTGAGTGCCTAGGTGGTGGGCCATGGCCTCGGCGATGGTGGTCTTGGGGACCTTGGCTATGGGGTGGTGGGTCACAGGGTCCATGGTCATAGAGATCATGGCCATGGGGATGGTGTCCATGGGGATGGTGACTGTGAGGACGATGTGTGTGTGGATAGTGCTCACCTGAACTATGATTATGAGGGGGCCCATGGGTCCCACTGGTGTCAAAATGAGGGTGATGGCATCTTGACCCTGGAGGGGGCAATGGTAGAGGAACTCCTACTCAAAATGGTGGACTGTCTGAGTAATTTTTGTCTTCTAGAGGAGGTGGGCATCTAAAGTTATGTGACTCGTGGGGATTATGGTGATCTCTAGATCCATTGGGCTTAAATGGAGTCCTGCCAGCAGGAGAATGCTCACCAGAGTGGAGGGCATGGCCCAAACGATGCTTCACACCACTGATGTTTGTATGTTCCCGGTGAAGGACACAGAAGAGTGAATATCATCCTGTAACACAAAAGAAGTTAGATGTTTAATTTAATTTACACCAATGGTTTCCAGACTTTTGGATTTCACAACTAATTTTAAAAATAGGAGACCCCAAAAAATGGTTCCTCGAATTCTTATCTAGCCAACTTGGCATTTAAAATATGAACAGAGGGCTTCCCTGGTGGCGCAGTGGTTGAGAGTCTGCCTGCCGATGCAGGGGACATGGGTTCGTGCCCCGGTCCGGGAAGATCCCACATGCCGCGGAGCAGCTGGGCCCGTGAGCCATGGCCGCTGAGCCTGAGCGTCCGCAGCCTGTGCTCCGCAACGGGAGAGGCCACAACAGTGAGAGGCCCGCCGTACCACAAAAACAAACAAACAAACAAACAAACAAAAAACAGAACTATCATCTACCACCATTATTATTTCACAATAGGAATAATACTTTGATAACACGAGTCAGAAAGTTAATCTCAGAGTAAAGGATACTCCTTCAGATGGAATAAATGTTGTATTATGAAAATCTTCCTTATTATTATTCTTCTCATTTCAACATAATCTGGTGAAATTATATTAAAAAATGATACTCATCTATAGATCAACCTTTGGGAAACTAGTGTTTTGTAATTTATAGTCTCAAGAGTTGAGGCTTTATGGTACAAACATCTCCTACTCCTAAAGGATGAGCACTTACCTGTTTGCCCTTGTGGAGCCATGTTCATGGTGACAAGCCTGCCCCCTCCATTTTGGGGGTGAGGGTTGGTACATGGACATTTGGATTATACTCAGGTTTTTTTTGGTTTTTTGTGGGTTTTTTTGCTGATGTAAAAAATACTGTGAAAAATATCTTGGTATAGAACAAAACTTTCTGGGACATATGTAAAATATTGTTTTGAATCTTATTTCATATAGCTTTATATAGTAAATTTTAGGCTAATTCATTCTTCTTAGGTTCTATGCCTAATAATAAAAGCTAGGAATTATTAAGTGTCAGCACTGGAATCCTGACTACAAGGGCCACTTTCAAATTCATTAGAGGTTGATTGAATTGATCATGATTTTACTTTTCTGGCAAATCTTACCCTCAATTCTTGGGGAAAAATTCATGTTTTTTGCGTCATATCAGCAATTGTAGTTTCCCAGGGGCCTATTCTCTCTGTATTTCTCCTCCCCCCATCTCTCATCCATCATCTCTCTCTTTCCCTCTCCCTATTCTCTCTGTCTCTGTCTCTCTCTCTCTCACACACACACACAGAATACACACCAACAGCCATAAGAACAAAATACACTATATGTGTGAAAATATCACTTAGTTTGGCACTGCTCATGACAAAGGCTACTTAAGCAACCCACCTTAAGATTGAAAACGTCATAGTTTATGACAATGTCTTTTGGGGTTTCCAAGTCAGAATCTTCTACATCATAGGACAAATCTGCTCTGCAGAATCCAAAGATCTATAAAGAAGAGATAAACCTGTTAGTGTCTATGTGTATTTGAGTGTGTGTGTGCAGGTGGTATGAAGGTGCCCAGCTCTTGTTGTGAACTTCCAGACATTTGGGAAAGGAAAACAGGCTTTCGAAAAATCAGAGTAATATTATCAAATATCTCCATCAGCTATTTAACCATTTTTCCTAGTCAACACTTTGGGGAAAGTGTAGGTTCTGAAGGGTTTCACTCCAAGTTGCAGTGGTTCCCTTCCATGAGTGGTCCCCCGTGCTGGGCTTCCCCATGGTCTGTAGGAGGAACTCTGCATCATTGATACCTTGCCTTTAGCCCAACCTTCTGCATGAAGACCTGAGTTGCCTGTGTCTAGAGAGAGTGAAGAGTGGTGTAGAAGAGGAATTTATACAACCTAAACCGGGCCCTTGGAGGAAAGTGTTGGGAAGAAAGGAGCCAGTATAAAAGTGGGTTTGCACAGACCCCGTCAAAGTGACTGTCTGCTGGCCCTACCCTAGGTACCGAGGCTACAACTGGCTGGCACCGCTATGCCCCAGAGGCCCCAATACCCAGCTGTCAAGGTTAGACTAGGACAAGAAGAAAACTCTTTTTTTAGAAGAGACTGTTAAGCATTGAGGCTCTGAGTACAGTTTTGGAGTCAAACAGACCTATGTTAATCTTGGCTTTGCCATTCACTGGTTGTGAGCTTAAGCAAGTTACATAAAATTTCTGGATTTGTCTTTGTAAAGTGAGTACAATGCTAACTATCCACAGGCTGTGGGAAGGCTTAATTAAATGAGATAATATGCTGGAAAGCACTTAGCACTGAGCTCCTCTTCTCCAGCTGCCATGTTTCTCTACTGGGTTTGCATTACCTACACCAAGATAGGGATTTGTTGGGGATGGGAATGGAGGAGGTGGGGTGTCTTTCCTGGTAGCTATTAAGCAGGATTCTAGAACTGCTTGAGGTTGAAAAGTTGAACAGTGAGAGAAGGAACGAATGAATGCCTCCTTTCTTTCCGTCCTGGAGAATGTGTTATTAAACCTCAGAAAATTCCTGGACTTGAAATCAAAAGGCCACCATTAACATCCTGTGTCCTAACACTTTCTGGCTAAGTGTCCTTAGGCAAGTGTTTAAACTTCTAGACCATCTTGTTCCAGGGAAATGGAGGCAAACACTTGCTTCTCCTCAGAGGGCTTGTCACAGGGCTCCAACGAGGCAATAACATGGGTGCTTTGTAAACTGTAAGTCACCATACAAATGCTGAGTGTTATTAAGGAGATCTTCCTGCAGGTACCTGAGTATCAAAGTATAAGTGACTAGGGGAGCAATCCCATCGATTGAGCAACTGGAGGACTGGACTCTAATCTCAGCTCAGTTGTGAACATCAGGCAGGGAGGGAGACGCAAGAGGGAAGAGATATGGGCACATATGTATATGTATAACTGATTCACTTTGTTATAAAGCAGAAACTAACACACCTCCCTCTGTTGAGCCTCAGTTACCTCCTCATTTGTCAAATGGGGTCACTGAGTGGAGTAAACAAGGTGAAGTGAGTGAAAGCACCCTTGGGTGTCAGTTCTTAATCCAAGCAATTTATTAGTTTTAGCTAAGTCTTTAATCCTACTGGGTAAAGAACCTGGTGTTAAGTTGAGGTATATAGCATATATAATTCTATAATATACATGATACTCTCATGATTCACTTAACTTCTCTGTGCCTCAGTTTCCCCATCTGTAAATCGGGAATAAAAATAGTACCTACTTCATAGGGTGGTGGTGGGTTAATAAGGTCACATACGTAAAGCACTTAGAAAGTTGTCTGGCCCATGGTAAGTGGTCTCTAAATGTTACCCAGTATTTCACAGAGGCTGGGAAAGTGGTGACTGGAGCAGTTCCTCACAGAGAAGTCCAGGTAGTAATTGGTTCTTTCCCCTTCTCTCTAGAACAAGTTGAATCCAAGCAGTTTCGGGACATAAAAAGTAAAAAAGGCAGTGGATACCTACGACCCAATATTCAATATAGCACTATGAGGATTCAAAATCCCCAATATGTGCCATTTTTCTGATGGTCTCTGCCTTTAAAATATTTACCACATAAGTAATAAGGTGAATACTATTTCATTGAAATGTTCAACTAACACAGACATAATCAAGCACAGTGTGAAAAATCACCCTTCCTGCACCCCAGCCTCCCCTTCTCAGAGGTACCATTATCATCCACTTGATGAGTTTTTCCTTCAAGCCTTTTCCTAAATATGTTGCACATATACACATATATCTAATTATTTAACATAAATAGGATCATATTCTAAGTATTGTTCTGTAACCTGTTTTTTCCATTAGCAATGTATCTTGAAACACTTTCCAGGGCATTTACCTCCAAAACGTTGTTTTTAGTAATTACGTTGTATTCACTCCATTGCTTGGATGCACTGTAATATATTTAACTTTGCATTTTCAAAATGCACAACGGACATCAACTAGCTGCTCTACAAGACCCCTCTGGGTGGGAAGCGCTTAGGTCCCTGGACTGGGAGGCAGAATTGCCCCACTGAGCCACACCACTGGGTGTGGCTCGATAGGCACTCTGAGCCTCAGTCTTCCATTGTACTAGAAGGAGGTCAGGACCCGATGATTTTAATGACTCGCATCATCTTATCATGCTCTTTCTTCTGTCTTCCCCTCTTCCTTGTTTGGGTTTTCCCTTTTCTCTGTTAGATATTCAGATACACACACCCCAACTCCAAAGACTAAAGAACTGAAGGAGGGCAGTTCTATGGTATCTGCTGCCTCTCTGCTGAGGCTGCAACAGAAGTCTCAATTTAAAAGGCAGCTGGCCGAGTGAGGCCAGCGGAGAGGGACAGTGCTGCCCCATGTCCCCTGCATCGGCAGGCAGACTCTCAACCACTGCGCCACCAGGGAAGCCCTAAAGCGCTAATATTTTAATGACCTCTTCCTGTCTCTGCCAAGGAGAGAGAGGCATCGTTAACAGAGAGAGGAGAAGGTACAGCTCAATCTTTCTTTAAGGCAACCTCCTGAGGGAGTTGCTTGACTGTTGAATTTTTATATGTTGAAACATGTTAAGATTAATTATTTTAAAAGAAGTTCTGGGATAATTCTTTTTGAAAAAATGAATTAAAAGAGCATGGAATTTAGAGTCAACACCGGTGGTACAGGGTCATGACTTTGCCACACTTTGGCTGTGTTCACCCGGCCAGGTCATTGAATCTCTTTGAGGCTCAGTTATTTTATCTCTAAAATAGAAAGGATTATAATCTTTACTCCATAGTCTTGTTGTGAGATTAAAGGAGATAATATATCCTTTGTATAACTGCTTTGTGAACATACATAACTTGCAGATGTTGATGGCAATACTCGAGTGCTAAGTACTTTGCAAAGTGTGCTACACAATTTTATTTAATTCTGAGAAGGAACCAAAGGGATAACGTTGTTATCCTCATTTTACAAAGGAGGAAAGCTTGAAGAGGTTAAGTAACTTGCCCTCAAGACCACACAAGTGGTAAGTGATAAGGCTGGGATTTAAACTCAAACAAATCTGACCCCAGAGCTTATGTTCTCTACAATGATGCCATACAGCCTCTTGTAAATTTCTATTTTTATATGTTGAATTTATTTAAAAGAAGGTGTGCCAGTAATAGGAAAAACCCTCTCTCTTCCCTTCTCAGGAGAGCAAGTAATAATACGTCCACAAGGGCAGGAATCATTTCTGATATGTACTTCATTGTCTTATATGATGATACCACTGTAAGACTGAATTTTGTATTAATTAGAATTAATTAGCATTATAACAGATGATCATACCAGGACTTGTGGTGCAGTTAAAGTCATTCACTCTAAGATTCTGAGACCCATCCAAAAGTGTTATAGCTATTACCTTACATTGTCCAATCACCTGCAAGAAAGAGGGGTTTATATTATTGCCTACTGCTTTCCTCAGGTTGACACAAGGGAACAAAAAAGTGAGGCAACATACTCCTACTAACCATTTGAAATTTGTCTGTGCTTTCTCTCACCAAACCCTCTCTCAAAAACCTGTATTTTCTTAGCATATTTCTGTGATCTGGATGCTATAAGCATCCAAAACCCTCATGAGAACCACGGAGAAACTGTTGAAACAGATCATGGCCATACCCCAAATATTTGCAAGGGAAAAAAATGCTAAAACCCCTGGGCATGTAAACATCTTATTTTCTGGAGTTGAAATGTTATATCTGTGCTCTTTCATCTTTGTGTCCTCCTCCTGTGGCAGGGAGCCTGGGCTCTGAGTACCCGCGTGCAACGTGCAGAACAAGACCCTATTCCTCACGGTGACTGCAACTAATCCCTTTGGCCATTTCTGTTAGTGGGACCAGTATTCATAGGACACGGTTACAAGTTCATAGGTTCTTAGACGTTAGGTGATTTGCTCAAGGCCTTACAGCTGGTCATGCTATCACATGGGACCACAAGCCCCACTGACTTTTCTTGAACTGGGTTCCAGGGTGTAGCTCTCAAGAAAATATTACTCAAGGTCAACACAGTCTTCATGAGCCAAGAGGCAGAAGCTGCTCTTACTCTTTTACAGTGTTAGCCCAGGTATGCAGCCACCCTGGGCAAGCACAATAACAGAAGTCAAGAACGCTAAGAGGAGAGGAATGGAACCGTGTTTACTTACGATTTCAGATGGACCAATAGAAACAGCTTGGCTCACAGTCAGCCCAGTGTTTCCTGGATAGGACTGAACAGTCAGATTCTTTCACATCCAAGACTAAATAATAGACAGCTGTGGATCCCTGGGGAATACCAAGAAAGCAATGGGTGAGTAGCATGTGGCAGCCCAGAGTTTTCTTCAAAAAAAACCCAATCTTTTTATTTCCTAAATAGAATTCCTGCTCCTCTCCAAGTCATTGCAGATGTCCTACCTTTGCGTCATTTGATCTATTTATTTAATAAAACGCTTCAGAGAGTTACTTCTGAATGCTCTTTTTAACTGGTCACAATGTTGCTTCTGCCCTTGAACTTTCAAAAGCAATCACTAAAAAGCAGTGTTGGTTTGGATGGAGGTGTTGAAGGTACAAGCCTAGAATATAAGTGCTGACAGTCACATCACGGCCTCCAATCTGTATATGCAGTCGTGTCCTCTCATCCAGCTCTATTCCTGAAATTGGATTTCTTGTCTTTTTTAAAAAATATAGATTGACTTTTTTCCCTTTTGGCTGCACCACGTGGCTTGCAGGATCCTAGTTCCCTGACCAGGGAATCAAACCCGTGCCCCCTGCAGTGGAAGCGCAGAGTCTTAACCACTGGACTGCCAGGGAAGTCTCAGATTTCTTGTCTTGATTTCAACTTGCCCAAAGCTAAATTCAGTCTCTTCTCTTACAAACCAGCTCCCTCTCTCAACTTCTTTTGTCTGGTCAGTGGCACCATTAATCATTTATTGCCTTAGTCTTTGTCTTAAAGAATGTCCTGTCCTCAAGCCTTGAATGGTCTTTCTTTGAAACGTCTCATGTCTTTTCTTTACTCTCATTGCCCTAATTCCCACTGCCTGGGGCTGCTCCTCATGTCGTCATTCCTGAACGAGCTCCTAGTTGTGTCCCTGCTCCGGCCCCTATCTTCCCAGGCACAGGGAGATCCGCGCCCCCCCCTTCCCCACTGCCACTCAGAGGTCGCACTGTGCTGATTCATCCTGTGTCCTATGATTCATCCTGTGTCCTACACATGTGGCAGAGAGCCTGGAAGGGGGCGACTGGTCATCAGATTGCTAGTGAAATCCTAAATCCCTCCACTCTCGTTCTCTGTAACCTTTAGGGCCTTGGTTTCTAACACTGTAACAAGTATAAATATCTCTGCTTGTCCTCTTTGGTGCCCCATGGTCTCGCCTCCCTGATTTCAGTGGTTCCACCAAAGGGTAGGTTATTTCTGGGGTGGTGGTGGAGAAGCAGGACTCCCTCTGTAATCTCTATCAAGCCCTCAAATGCACTCCGAATAAACATATAACCTAAATGAAAACAGTAGGCTTGCTTTCTTCAAGCCTACGGTCTCTCTTCCAAGGTGATGGCTGCTCCAAAGCCCACAGAGAACTGCTGGAACCCCTCTGCTTTTGTTCCGCTTCTCCCTAACACCTTCCTTCCTGATTCCCTACCCACACAGAGGTGATATGGCTGGCGTTCTCCTGGAAGGCCATTACACAAGCCACCGTCCTATTCAAATCCTGCTCACCCTTCAGGACGGAAAGGAAGCCTTCTCCCATCCCATCGAAATAGTCCTTTTATGAGATCACTCCTGCATCTATACCACTCACTTGGTCACCTGAATATATCCCATCTTATGCAGTTCACACATGTGTGCATGTGAGCTGCTTATTATTTCCTTGAGAGCAAGACCCACAGTTTAATCTTTCTCTTAATAGTACTGAGCCTTTGACTGGGCTCTGCATAAGTGTTTACAAGTACTTACAGGCTGATTCATAGTTAAGGACATACTAGTAACAAACATTCATCTGAAGGAAAAAAGAACAGTCACAGCAGCCCACAGATGAAACAGACAGCCCTGCCCAAAGCCAATCCACTGTGCAAAGCAGCAGGCTTAGGGGCTAGAGTCTCAGTTGCCCCCGTACATCATCTCCCCACTCAGCTCTGCCATGGGCAGCGCCACAGCATTTTGTCCAAGTGGACATCAGCGACCCACAGCAACTGGAAAAGGTAGCCATCCCACCGTCCTTTATTGATCAGGTCTAGAGCTTTCCCAGCCACGGGCTCAGCAGCATCACAGCCTGTGGGACTCACAGCACAGGAACGCTGCAGTGGGATCAAAAGGATGAAAAACAGTGTTGCAGTGAGTAACTTCATTTTGTTAAAATGTGAAAAACATTCTCTGCTCTGGGATACCACAGCAGAGAAGTTTATACAGATTTTCTAAAACATACACACATACACACACAATTGATTCAACAAAGTCTTTATCCGTTTTTGTTATGTAACTGGGTATGTTCACCTTGACCCCTGGTTCACATATCAGTCAACACGCTGTAAATGATTAGTGGGTCCTGGGGACAGAAAGTTGAAACATGCCACCAGTGAGTGGGTAAAACTGTGATCTGCACAAATCTGGTTATTACTAGTAGGTAGCAGATCCAAAGTGTGTTTTTGGCCGTAAGCACTGACTGCATTGGTATACGAGGTGGAGTCAGAGATAATTTTCCTCCATCTGCCAGCCAGAAATCTCCGCCATCAGTCCCTTCTTTGGATTGTGGCACTGAAAGTCCTCAGTAGAATGTAGCTGCATTACTGAAGGGAGGAGACATGTTAAATGGTTAACACCATAAAAGGAAGACAGTTCAGGTAGAGGAGAAGGATTAAGAGGCTGTCGCTTTGAAGTCAGATCTGAATTTCAACCCTGGGTCTGTTACTCTCTTACTGTGTGATGCTGGGTAAGCTATAAAACTTCTCTGATCCTTAGTTTCCTCGTTTATAAAACAGGGTTTAAAAATCTCTTGGCAGGCTTGTGTGATGATTAAATAAGAAAACATGCATAAAAAGTCACCAATACAATTCTTAGCACAGATCCAGGTGCTAAATACATAATGCTATTTTATTATTATAATTAGTGTGACTGACAAGAAGTTGGGGGCACACTCATGTCATTCCAGTTCTTTGTGACCCTTAAAGTATGCTAAAGAGAATTAGTTCATGTGGAAGAGGATGGTGGTGAGGGTAGAAGTCAAGCCATTCTATGCCCATTCCAGAGAAGGGGTTAGAGGGACTAGACCATTGGGGGAGGGGCTCAGCACGGGAGGACAGGGCTGGGATTAAGCTGCTTCCCCCCACCCTCACTCCTCCTAAAAAGTCAATATTGGCTTCCCTGGTGGCGCAGTGGTTGAGAATCTGCCTGCCAAAGCAGGGGACACGGGTTCGAGCCCTGGTCTGGAGGATCCCACATGCCGCGGAGTAACTAGGCTCGTGAGCCACAACTACTGAGCCTACGCGTCTGGAGCCTGTGCTCCGCAAAAAGAGAGGCCGCTATAGTGAGAGGTCCGCGCACCGTGATGAAGAGTGGCCCCCACTTTCCGCAACTAGAGAAAGCCCTTGCACAGAAACGAAGACCCAACACAGCCAAAAATAAATAAATGAATAAAATAGTTATCTATTAAAAAAAAATAAGTCAATATACCTGCAGGGATCCCTCATGCCAGCAGAGACCAGCGGCATCAGAAAGGACCAGAGAGGGCTTCCCTGGTGGCACAGTGGTTGAGAGTCCGCCTGCCGATGCAGGGGACACGGGTTCGTGCCCCGGTCCGGGAAGATCCCACATGCCGCGGAGCGGCTGGGCCCGTGAGCCATGGCCGCTGAGCCTGCGCGTCCGGAGCCTGTGCTCTGCAACGGGAGAGGCCACAGCAGTAAGGGGCCCGCGTACCGCAAAAAAAAAAAAAAAAAAAAGAACCAGAGGGAGTCAGCCCAGCTTGCTTCCCCACGACCGGGGACTTAAACGGCATCTGCCTTCCTCCCCACTCTCTTCTCTGCGGTGAGTCACCCGAGATGCTTTTCAGAATCCTTACTTCCAGGCCTCCCTCAGAGCAATTAAATCAGGATCTCTGGAGATGGGTCCAGGTGTTGGGAGTTCTTCCAATGTGCAGCCAAGGCTGGGAACTGGTGAAGCTCTAGACAGAACCTGAACGGAGGGAAAGAGTTTGAAGAGAGAAGCAATGGGGACGGGGGTATGGAAAGCAGACCTCACTTCCCAGAGTCACAGGTTGGTTTAGCAAGTGTTAAAAGGGGAAGAAACCCATTTCGGATTATATTTGAGATTGAACTTTTAATATTAGTAACACTGGCTTTTAAATATCCAAACAGGACAGCTTCATTGTAGTTTAGAATGACAGGATTAGTATGGAATCTGGCCAAGATGTTACTAAGCGGCTCCAACCCAGGGCTGGAGGTGGAGAAAGCCATTAATTAGAGCAAAACCGTTTTATGTTTCAATAAGTTGAGCTCCTTAATGAGGCCTTTCTATTATTGCTACACTGGTCACACCCAATATGGAGTGCCCTGGGTGAGCTAAATGCTGGTGGAGGGAAAGAGATGGGAACGCTGAGCGGATGGGAAAGGGCACCGAGGGTGAGAATCAGCTTTTCCTACATACTCTTGTGCTGAGACCTAGGGGTAGTCACTAGAGCCATGAATTCCCTTCCGCTCACTTTATTGAACCTGAAAGACAAATACAGTGCTAGTGATGCGTTGTGTTTCTTGCTAGACCCTGATTGAAATAGGGCCATAGCCACCACATAATACCCCTACTTAGTCATTTTTCCTTCTTAAAGGAGGCAGATAAGAGTAATAGAGTGTGAATATTGTCTATTGCTCTTAAACAAATTATGCCAAGACCTATGTGCCTCTTCTGAGAAACAGCTGCCAGGAGAGAGGACAAGAGTTACATCTGTACATTCCCTGTTGTATGAGTTTGCTAGGGCTTCCAGAACACAGTACCACAAACTGGGTGGCTTAAACAACAAGTTAATTTCTCACGATTCTAGAGGCTAGAAGTCTAAGATCAAGGTGTCAGAGGAGTGGTTTCTACTGAGGCCTCTCTCCTTGGCTTGTAGATGGCCGTCATCTCTCTCTGTCCCCATGCGGTCTTCCCTCTCTACTCATCTGTATCCTAATCTCCTCTTCTTGTAAGGACACCTGTCACAGTGAATTAGGGCCCCCCCTAATGCCTTCATTTTAACCTAACTACCTCTTTAAAGACCCTATCTCCAAATACAGTCACATTCTGAGGTACTGGGGGTTAGGACTTCAGTATATGAATTTTGAGGGGACACGATGCAGCCCACAACACCTGTCCAACTTCAAAAGATATGTGTATATGTAAATGTCTGCAGACATATATGTGCATGTGTCTATATATTATACATATACATACATATAATATTATATTTTATATTACATAATTTTTTAAGTGAAAAAATTGGGAATAAATATAATCTGGGCCCTTAACTTCTCCTCTGGGAAACAACTTTTAAAGGAATCAGAAAGTTACCCAACTTGGACCAATGTTTGGTTCTCTTCAGGATTAACCACAGGCCACAGGTAAATGTCACTTCCACCTACCCCACTGCTAAGTGAGTCTATCAGCTCACCTGGGATTTGGAGACTATTCAGACAGGTTAAAAAAAAAAATCCACCTTCAGGCTGGATATATCTGACCGATACTTGGTGTTGAAATAATGATGGAATAAGGGGAAAGTGAAACTCTGATGAATCCCAGTCTCTTGATATCCCTCAATTTTCATCTTATTTGATCAAAAGAATCACAGTATGCTTTTGCCCAGTGTAAGTAATTAACAGAAACCTCAATTACATAGAAGTTGGGAGACCAGAAGGGGGAGCACTCATGCCCTGTGACAGTAGCAGAGCTCGATAGGAAGAAGAGAGACTTCTTTCGTGGCAACAGCTCAGCCAATGGAAAGCCATGGGCTCTGTTTACTACAGCCCTCCCAACTTCCTTTTCCTCTTTATAAGAGTTTTCCTTCCCTTGTTGTTTGGGGACTTCGCTGTGGCTCACCATGGTTGCAGGCCCCAAATTGCAATTCTCTGCTGATCCCAAATAAACCCATCTCTGCGGTAGAAATATCTGGCAATCTATTTGTTTCGGGTCAACATTTTGGTGGCCTGTACAGGGACCAGAGAAGACACCCAACAGCTCCGGGGTTGGTGAGCAAACAGGTGTGGTATCCACAGTTGAGCCCATTGTTCCTCATTGCTTTTCCAACCCCGGAGTTTGAAGGTGTAGCTTTCTCCTGGATCCGAGCTCACACCCTCTTTGCTTTTGAAGCTCCAGGCTTTATTCAGTATCTATTTGAAGGTTTCCTCTTTCTCATTAAGGCCTTGTTCTGTATGTGAAATTGGCACTTCTGTCTGATTTGAGATCAGACTGTTTCACTGAAACTGGCTAACCTTCAGCCTATTCCCTTTGGAACAAAGGCTGCTTCTCCTGAAGCTGGATACCCTTTGACTCATTCCTTCGGGAACAGGGGAATTTTTTTCTGAATCAGTGCCGAGTTTTTCAGCCTTTTGCCTATTCCTTTGGAATGGCTGTCTTCTGGAGACTGGCTTTAAAAAGCCTTTGGTCTAGATCCTTCAAGACAAAGCTGTCTCCTTAAGACTGGCTGGGATTGGCTTGCAAGCTATTTGAATTGAGCCGTTTGTTCTGTAAGCTATTTGAGCTGTTTGAAAATTGTTCTTTACCCTAAAGAAAAACCTCTAAGAAATGGGTTCCCAGTTATCTAAGTATTTTGAGGGTGCCCTCACTACAGGGACTCCAGATGATTTTATGTCTAAACACCAGGGTCCTTCCTCATGTTCATTTCTAACTAAATAAACGGACTTGACCAAACTCAATTTAGAGTACCAATGGCCATTGTGGGGAACTTTTGAAATTCACAAAATTTAATTTCCTTAAAACTGAACTGGTCTTCCCTGGTGGCACAGTGGTTAAGAATCCACCTGCCAATGCTGGGAACATGGGTTCGAGCCCTGGTCCGGGAAGATCCCACATGCCGCGGAGCAACTAAGCCCGTGCACCACAACTACTGATCCCGTGTGCCACAGCTGCTGAAGCCCACAAGCCTAGAGCCCATGCTCCGCACGGAGAGAAGCCACAACAATGAGAAGCCCTCATATCACAACAAAGAGTAGCCCCCACTTGCCTCAACTAGAGAAAGCCCGTGCACAGCAACAAAGACACAACGCGGCCAAAAACAAAAGCCAAAAAAAACCAAACTGGACTACAATAGGTCAAAAATTTCCAGAACTGAGTGGAATGCTTATTTCAGTTGGTATTTTGAGGCTTCCCAACTATTATCAGGAGTCTGAAATTACCTCTGCAAAAGATTAACTGAGGCAGACAAATGATTGAAGAAAGATAAAATGGCTCCTGAAGCCTGAGGCTCTTCTTCCTTGGCTTCTTTGTCTCAGGCTCTGCCTTTGGCACCATCTTCTTCTTTCTTTTCTAGGATGCCTATGCCTCCACTATACCTTCAAATCCCTCACAATAATTCTTCCACCAAACTTTCCCTTTTCTCTGAAACTCTCCCCGCTCCCTTTTCCTCTGCACTTGTCAGAACCTGTCTTTTTAAAATTAAGACTTCTGAGGATCCAGGGGCTAAGCCCTTAATTTCTTACACTACCTGGGCTAAAGCTGAAATGCAAGCCATAGTCAAAGACCTTCCCGAAGAAACTGAAGATCTCAATGATCCGCTGAGGAATTTAATATAGTCATTCAAACTTATCAACCTGGTTTCTGTGACTTTTCTCAGCTAGTTCATATGCTCATTGGTGAAGGCCAGGCCCAGCACTGGATGAAAACCGCTAATTAGGAAATTCCTGAAAGGTCTCTAGAGTTACAACTGGGAATCCAGCCTACTAACGTACTATGTGATCAAGCTCAGGCAATTGCTAGGCAACTTTATGAAGCAATTCCTAGGGCTTTTCCAAAGCCTGTTGATGGGAACAAAATTCAGGCTTGCACACAAAACTCTGACGAACCTGTTCATGAATATTACAGTAGGCTTCAGATTCTGGTCTTCCTTCAGATGTAGATTCCACCCGGGTAGCCTTTAACTCTATGTTTATTAATGGGCTGAACCAGGACTTTTCCCTTCTAGTAAAACGGACCAGGATAGAAGGGAAAGTATGTCCACTCCAGATTTAGAGAATCTGGCAAACCAGCTCTCTCGTACTCTAGATGAGTCACCTCTAAGGAAGACAGCCAAAATCTTAATCTTCCCACATGTAAGGGTATATCCATTCGGGGCACGTAGAATCCCAGACAGGTTACAAAGGTTCAAAGACTGGTTAATAGGTAAGAAAGCAAGAATAGATGCCTTGGAGTACTAAAACAGTTCAAATAGTGGGTACCTCCAATGAACCTCAAGAGGTTCCTGCCTCTGAACTCATTCCCTTTTGTTTAGGCCTTTTGAGAGATACCCACACTTTTCTCCTTAGTCCCTCTGCTGTTATTCATTTATTAGGCTGAGACTTCTTAGAGAAGTAGCACGCCTGAATGTCTTTGTCCAAAAAAGGGGAAATAATTCTAGAAAATGGACAGTCGTCATCAAAGTTATCCACCGGGTGAATTAAATGATCCTTTGACATCTTTTTTTTGTTCCATCTCTGATAATAGTAGAGCAGATTCTGGAAACGCTGATCATTTGTCCCTATTGAATCAGCTACCATTTTCCTTATGGGCACAATCCACAGTGTACTTCCCATCAAGATTCAAATAGATCCCTCAAGACCTCTTTCCAGAATTAATACCCTATTTGTAAAGAAGCCCTTCAAGGCATAAAGCCCATAATAGAAGATTACAAGGCTCATGGTTTCATTGTCCCTTGTACTAGCTCCTGTCATACTCCCATTTTACCAGTGGGAAAAACCTAAGGACCAAGCGTGGAGATTTGTCCAGGACCTCCAAGCAATAAACAGCATTGTTATCCCTCATACCTTACTAACATCCATTCCCACCGGAAGTAAACTTTTTACTATAGTAGATTTACGCAGTGCATTCTTTAGAATTCCAGTTGACAAAGCTGGCCAATACCTTTTTGTCTTTACTTGGGAAGAAAAACAGTTCACCTGGACAGTAATGCCTCAGGGTTATACTGAGAGTCCTTGTTTCTTACAAATCCTGAAGGCTTATCTGGATGATGTAAAGTTCCCCAGGGGTTCTACTTTGTTGCAACAGGTGGATGATTTGCTTCTTTGCTCTCCTTCTCAAGCCTCCTCACAGGAAGACATCATCCACTTGCTAAAGCTTTTAGCCTTAAAGGGACATAAGGTTGCCAAAGAAAAATTGCAGCTTGTCCAAACCCAGGTTTGATATTTAGAGCATCTGATATCAGAACAAGGACTACACCTAGATCCAGATAAGATTTCATAGTGTCCTAAGTCCCCTTAGACCTAAAACTAAGTGCCAGCTGCAAGGTTTTCTCGGGCTAGTTGGTTATTACTGAAATTGGATTCCAAATTTCTCTCTTAAGGCCAAAGCTCTATGTTTTGCTCAACAATAACCCAGTTCAATTTTATGGGAAGAACTGGATGACACAGCCTTCAAGGTCTTAAAGAAGAGTTTGATGAACTCTCAGCTGACTTTGGGCATCCCAATTATCAGATTCCCTTTTTCCTTTCTATATACGAAGAGGAAGGGCATGCCTTGGGGTACTCACCAAAAACACAGGGGCCGTGATAAACTCGCAGGGTATTATAGCCAGCAACTGGATTCTGTGGCACAGGGATACCCCCTTGCCTTAGAGCTATTACGGCTACTGCCTTTTTGGTTAACACTACTGAGAAAATCATTGTGGGATCCCCTTTAACCATTTTTGTACCTCATGCAGCAGAAGCCTCCTGAATTCTCATCACACTCATTTCTCAGCCAGTCACCTCACCTCTTATGAAGTCCTCTTGTTAACTGTTGCTTACACAACTCTTTTACATTGTAATAACCTTAACCTGGCTACTCTTCTCTCCTCTGTCACTGATGAAGTCCCTCGCAACTGCTTAAAGCTGACCAACCACCTGACCCCTCTCACGATCTGTAGGAAATTCCATTGGGTAACGCTAATTTCTCATGGTTCAACAATGGGTTGGTTGTATTTAAAGGCGACAATGGTGGATATTGTGCTGGGTATACCATTACAACTCCTTTTGATGGTATTGAGGCAGCATCTTTACCTATGGCTGCTTTGGCCCAATAGGCTGAATTATACGCTCTTACAGAGGCTTGTCCTTTAGCCAAGGACAAAACCGCCATACTGATAGTAGATATGCTTTCAGAGGAGCTCATGATTTTAGAGAGTTGTGGGGAAAATGTGGCTTCCTTACTTCCATGGAAATAAAATTTAAGAATGGCCCCTATATTTGGGAATTATTAAATGAAATACTTTAACCTGCTGCTTTAGCTATTATTAAGATCCCGGGGCATTCTAAACTGGACTGTCTGGAAAGTAAGGGAAATTTACCTTGCTCAGATTTCTGCAAGCAATGCTGCCCTTAAAGGGACCAACAGTAGCCAAACCTCTGTCATGGTCCAAAGGGATATTTCCCCAAACAATAATTTAGAAAAGCTGGCTAGAGAGGCCCTAAAACTGGGCTCAGAAAAGCAAGATTTTCAGCAATTGTTGATTTTATAAAAAGAGAAAGCTCGAGATATGGGAACATATGTATATGTATAACTGATTCACTTTGTTATAAAGCAGAATCTAATACACCATTGTAAAGCAATTACACTCCAATAAAGATGTTAAAAAAAAAAAAGAGAGAAAGCTCTGGTTTGGACCAAATAACAACACAGTCCTACCAGAGATTCTAAAATTCCCACTCCTTACCACTGTATGTGCATTAAACCATTGGTCTCCTGACAAAATGAGAGCCTTCATGAACCAATATTGGTGGGAAAACAATAAGGTCGAAAAAAGTGCCTACCTCACTTGTCCCGCTTGTCCAAAGTGCAACCCAGGGAAGCCTGTTTGTATCGTTCCCAGACATTTTAAACTGCCAGATGGACAGTTCAAGGCCTGGCAAATGGATTTGATGCAACTTCTCCATCTAATGGATATAAATATATTTCAGTCATGGTCTGTATGTTTTCACACCAAACTGAAGCCTTCCTTTGCAGACAGACTACTGCCTCTTCTGTAGCTAAAGTCCTCCTGGAAAAGATTCTCCCTGTCTGGGGAACTCCTCTCAAACTTCATAATGATCAAGGAACACATTTTATTTGCCAGGTATTTGGACAGACATGTGCTGTTTGGTCACTTTTACAACACTTTCATTGGGCTCACCACCCTCAATCCTCTGGTTTGACAACATCATGAAGACTCAATGGGAAAAATCTGTAGAGGCCCTCCAACTACCCTGACCAAAAGCATTGCTATTGGTCCCGCTAAATCTCAGATCTGCTTGTCTTGGAGCTCATAAACTCTCACCCTTTGTGATGGTCACAGGACACCCGGTGAACCTGGCTCCTGCTTCTTTTGCCCCACAACTGATAAAGGAGAACTATTCCAATATCGCCAAGGCCCTAATTGTTTCTATTAAAAATAACCATGTTTTGGTAAGGTAATCTTTTCACGGTGTGCCCTCGGGAGAAAAAGACCTTAAGCATCACACCTTGCAACCTGGAGATTTTATCTATTTTGAAAAGACGTCTCCAGAAGAACTCTCCTTCAACCTCATGGAAAGGCCTCTATCTGGTACTGCTAGCCAGCTCTTGTGCCACCGAACTCCAAGGAATAGACTCTTGGATTCATGTGACACACCTAAAGAAAGTGCCAAACCCTAATTGGACCTGCCCATCATCTGGTGACCTGAAGGTAAAGATTTCCCAGAACTGAAGCAGATGACAGCAGATGAGACAGCTTTCCCAGGATAACCAGAACAGGCCTGTTGGAAGCTTGTTGCCAAAATTTTGATTATAGAATGCTTCAGATGATCTCCAATGTCTAGGATCTTGATAAAATATGAACTTTAGATAAAAAGGGCCTGAGAGTTCTCCCTCCTACCCCTTCTTGTCATTTAAAGGTGACCTTAATAGGTTTCTAATCTTCGTACTTTCCCTTCGATTTGAGACACTACACCAAGGAAAGGTCCTTCCTGACACTGAATGACAAAAAGCCATTGAAACTAGAATACCTGACTCTTGATCGGTGATGCTTTCAGAGAAAGATCTTGATTAAAAGGGGAGAAAGGTAAAAAATTAATAAACAGAAACCTCAGTTCATAGAGTCGGGAGACCAGAAGGGAGAGCTCTCACCTGTGACGATAGTACAGTCCTATAGGAAGAAGAAAGACGTTTCTTTCCTGGCAAGGACTCAGCCAATGAAAAGCCATGGACTTTTTGTTTAGTATGGCCCTTCCAACTTCCTTCTCCATGAAGGCCTTCTCCTTCGCTTGCTGTTTGGGGGCTTGCATGTGGCTCTCCACAGTTGCAGACCCCGAATCACAACCCTCTGCTGATCCTGAATAAACCCATCTTTGCTGGAGAAATACCTTCAGTCTATTTGTTTTAGGTTAACCTCAGAAAGATGAGGACATTCTTAAGTAAGGCCCTATATCAGAAACAATTAGCTAAAAGTAAGAAGTCATTACAAAGAGAGAGGCAGACGATATGAGAGGCATCTATCCATGGTATGGGGCCTTGGGTGGTTTAGGAGGGATGCAGTCCAGTGTGCAAGGGAACAGTTAAGTCTTATTTCCATTTCCGGGCAACATGATGAGACCAAGAGGAGTCAAAAAGATATACTTTATTAGCCTTCTCTATGTTCGAACTGTTTCTCCATCCCCCTTTTCCCAACGCCTCTCATCTCCCGTAGGGCAGTATGTCGCCCAGGACCCTCCACGTGGTTCTCAAGGTGGGAGAATAAGAGGGTTGTCCTCTTGAGCTGGTCCTGGGCACTCAGCAGGGTGTTGTTCTTTTGAGGGGAAAGGCAGGACAACCAGCTTCTCCTCCATAGGCTCCAGGAAGAGGAAGGAGACATCCAGTGGTTCTCCTTGGGGATCTGTGGTTAGATCCAGCTGCACAGGGAAGGCCTCAACAGGGTCCGTTCCCTGGGAACCTTTAGGCTTGTTATCCAAGTCAGGAAGGTACTGGACAGTTCCTTTGGGCACAGCTTTGGCTGATGAGTTGGTGGGAGCTGTGTTTGTCTGCTGGGGCTCTTCCACCTTGAACAGGTCCACAGGTCTCGGGTTAACAGTAGAGTTTTCACCTCTAGGGGTGGGAGCCTGAAATAAGAATGCTTTCAAATAAGGGAATGTCCTCCAAGAAAATCCCTGCCATGCCTGGTACTAGATTATGCTCTTCTGTGCCTTTCTGATGGAGTTTTCAAAGGGAGACTAGCTAGATGGGCCTCTGATTAAAGGGCTTAAAGGAAATTCCCTGGCATCTAGTAGTTAAGACTCCAGGCTTTCACTGCCATGGGCTGTGGTTCAACCCCTCGTTGGGGACCTAAGATCCCATAAGCCAAAAAAAATTTTAAATAAATAAATGGTTAAAAAGCAAAACAGATAAGGGCCAGGGGGAACCAAACCTTTAGAAGCTTGACTGTAGGCTTCACAAATTTCAGAGCTGAACAATGATCCGGAGAGGTAAGATGGCTTGTTCAAAGTCCCTAGTAAGGTGTCTCCCCACTCCTAGTAGTGGCAGAAGAAGCCACCTCTGGTGACTGTTTATTCTGTGCCAGGCCCAGGGCAGTGCCCTTCAACCAGATCCTCTGACCTGTTTCTCATGGGGATCTGAAGGAGATAGGTATTGCAATCCAATTCTATAGATGAGGCAACCAAGACTCAGAGAGGTAGGAAATTGTCCATGTTCACACAACTTGTAGGTGGCAGAACAGGACTGGAACCCAGGTGGCCTGTCTCAACCACCCTTTCAACTACACCAGGCTGCCTTATGGTAAGTGCTCAATAAATACTTCTGAAAAAGGATTCAGTATTTCCATGGAAACAACTTCTACCTATGGTTCAGGGTAAGAGTCTTTGGGACACTGAATTTAATATCTCAGATGCCTGAGCCACTCAAGCTACAGGGGTCTTACTTATGCTATATGGACCATGTTGTAACTAAAAGAAAGGGTGACAGGTTTTTCTTTTAGCTACCCTGTGGATGTGGCCTTAGGACACCCTGAATAAAGTGGTGATCATGGATTTTAGGAAAATAAAAGGAGAGGGTAGGGTAGGGGCAACTAAAATAATCTGCTCTTTTATTCACAGAAAGACAACCAATTAGACTAAAAAATACCTCTGATTTAAAGAAGTCACAAGTCACAGAGACCGACTTTTCTGAGTCTCGTTCAGTAAGAGAACCGTGGCAAATACCAACAGGCTAAAAAAAGGAAAATACAATGTCACATGTGTATTACGATTATCAAGGATCATAAATGGAAATCAACTTGCTTTCTGATTACATAGACACACAGCCAATCAACACTTTGAAGCTCCTACCATGTAATAGGTAGGCTCTGAGCCAATTCTTTAGCTCATCCCTACCAAATAATCACCCAAACTAGGCTAAATTACCTCCAATGAGAGAAACTCAGGATTTCTTGAGGAACAAACTCTATTAGAAAATTCTTTGTATTGAGCAGAAATCTGTGTCTATAGAGCAGACACAGAAATCTGGGTCTATCTCTTGGCCACACTTCTACCCTTGGGTCAACTAGAAAACTTGTTTTCATCTCTCATATAGCAGCTCTTTATGTATGTTCCACCTGAGTTTTTGCTTCTCAGACAAGACTACTCATCTCCTTAAACTTTTCTTTATTTAAAAATAAAATAAGTTTGTTTTCTTATTAGAAATGTAATAAACAGTTATTTAGAATATGGATAAACAAATAGAAAATAAAAAGACCTGTAACTACATGAAAGGTACCCGTTTCCTGCAGTGATTTGATTTCTTTCCTTCTAACATTTCTTCCTAAGCATACATAATTTTTCTTCTAGAAAAATAGAATTATACTCTTCATAATATTTTATAACTCTCTTTTGTCATTTAACAATATATAGTAAAAATCTGTCTATGACACTGAATAGTTTTCTATGATTTTCTTTATAATGGCTACCTAATATTCCTCTGTGTTATTTAACAAGTTCTCTTTTGTTAGAAGCTGGATTGAACCTAATTTTTTTTTTTTTTTGGCGGTACACGGGCCTCTCACTGTTGTGGCCTCTCCCATTGCGGAGCACAGGCTCCGGACGTGCAGGCTCAGCGGCCATGGCTCATGGGCCTAGCCGCTCTGCGGCATGTGGGATCTTCCCGGACCGGGGCATGAACCCGTGTCCCCTGAATCGGCAGGCGGACTCTCAACCACTGCGCCACCAGGGAAGCCCTGAATCTATTTTTTTATGTTTAAACATTGAAGCTATTTTCATATATCCTTAGGGTAAATTCCTAGAAGAGAAATTTTAGAGTCATAGAGTATGCATTTTTTCAAGTGTAAACAGAGGGCCAGTGTAGACCAAGAGAAAATTACAACTGCAGGTCCAGTTATGTAAAAGACTTTAAACTCTTTTCTCTAATTCCTCTCTCATTCTTCCTGGAACTTGGAAGAGCCACAGTTAAATAAATGAATAAATGATTGCAGGAGGGGGAGAAAGAGTGAAAGGATAGACCTTGACTCCTTCCTCACAGCAGGTTCTACAGGGAGGAGAAAGCTTTGAATTGGATGTGAGATAGAAGTTTTGATTCAGAATTGACTAAAAGGGATTTTTAATACCTGAAAGTGAATCTTAATAATCTAAGCGAAATTGTTCTTATTACCGAATATAACCAGAAAGCTATGTGATCTGCCCAAGATGGCATTGAGAAGTGAGAAAGGGAGATTCTACAGAAGATGATGAAGACATTTTCCCAATTATTCCTTAATATTCAATTGACTGGTTATGAAAGACTTTTGAGAGACATAGTTCAGATTCAAAGACACACATGGGTTGAAAATTAAAAGATGGAAAAAATTTACAATGCAAACAGTAACAAAAAAGAGCTGGGAATGGCTATACAAATATCAGACAAAATTTACTTTAAGACAAAAATTGTTACTAGTGACAAGGAAAAACATTTTATAATGATAAAAGGCTCAATTTATTAGAAAGACACAACAACTATAAATATAATGCCCCTAATAATAGAGCCCCAAGGTACATAGGCAAAACCTGACAGAATTCAAGGAAGACATAGATAATTCAACAATAATAGTTGGAAACCTCATTTTCAATCATGGATAAAACAAGTTTGCAGAACATCAACAAAGAAACAGAAGTCTTGAACAACACTATAAACAAATTAAACCTAACAGACAATTACAGAATGCTTTACCTAACAACAGCAGAATACACATTCTTCTCAAGTGTACATGGAACTTTCTCTAGGATATACCTTATGTTAAACCATAAAACAAGCTTCAATACATTTAAAAGAATTGAGATCACACAGAGTACATTCCCCAACCACAATGGGATGAAATTAGACGTGAATAACAGAAGGAAATTGGAATTTTCACAAATATGTGGACATTAAATAACACTCTTAAATAACCAATTGGCCAAAGAAGAGATCACAAGGAAAATTAGAAAATATTTGGAGATGAATGGAAACAAAAACAACATGTATAACTTGTGAGATGCAGCTCAATCGTTTCTTAGAAGGAAATCTGTAGATGTAAATGCTTATGTTAAAAGCAAATAAAGATTGTAAATCAATAACCTAAACTTCTACCTTAAAAAGCTAGAAAAAGAAAAGTAAACTAAGCCCAAAGCAAACAAAAAGAAGGTTACAATAAAGAGTAGACAGGAAATAAATGAACTAGATAATAAAAAAAGAATGGAGAAAAAATGAAACTGAAAGTTGATTCCTTTTTGAAAAACTTAATAAAATTGGCAAAGCTTTAGATAGACTAAGAAAAAAATGACTCAAACTACTAAAATTGGAATTAAATAGGGTACATCACTTCTAATCTTTCAGAAATAAAAATGGAATACTATGAACAATTGTATGCTGGAAAATTGGATAACTTAGATGAAATGGACAAATTCCTAGGAAGATATGAACTACCAAAACTTACTCAAGAAGAAATATAAAACCTGAATAGACTTACAACAAGTAAAGAGATTGAATTATTAATCAAATAATCTTCCCACAAAGGAAAGCTCAGGCCCAGATGGCTTCACTGGGGAATTCTACCAAATATTTAAAGAAGAATGAACATCAACCTTTCACAAATTCTTCCAAAATAAAACAGAAGAGGAGGGAAAATTTCCCAATTCATTATATGAAGCCAATATTAAACTCATATGAAAATCAGGCAGATATGACACAGAAAAACTACAGAGCAATGTCTCTTATAAATATGAGATTAAAAATCTTTAAAAGAAAAAAACAACCACTGGCGAACTGAATTCAGGACTTCCCTGGTGGCACAGTGGTTAAGAATCCGCCTGCCAGCGCAGGGGACATGGGCTCGAGCCCTGGTCTGGGAAGATCCCACATGCTACGGAGCAACTAAGCCCGTGCACCACAACTACTGACCCTGCGCTCTAGAGCCCATGAGCCACAGCTACTGAAGCCTACGTGCCTAGAGCCCATGCTTCACAACAAGAGAAGCCACCACAATGAGAAGCCCGTGCACTGCAATGAAGAGTATTCCCCGCTTGCTGCAGCTAGAGAAAGCCCACACGCAGCAACAAAGACCCAACACAACCAAAAATAAATAAATAAACTTTTTAAAAACTCTGAATTCAGAAACATATAAAAGGGGTTATACACCATGATCAACTGTGATTCATCCCCAAAGCACAAGTCTGTTTTAACATAAAAAAATCACTGTTATGTACAATACTAATAGATTAAAGGAGAAAAAGAAAACCAAACGATTATCTCATTAACACAGAAGAGGCATGAGACAAACTCTAACACTGTTTTTTGATAAAAGCATTCAACAAACTAGTAGGACTAGATGGGAACTTTCTCAACTTGATAAAAAAGCAGCTATAAAAAGCCTACAGTTACCATCACATTAAACGATGAAATACTGAATGCTTTCCTCCTAAAATCAGGAATAAGATAAGGATGTCTGCTCTCCCCATCTCTATTCAGCATTGTACTGGAAGTTCTAGTCAAGAAAATTAGGTAAGAATTAAAAGTCATTTAGATTGGAAAGGAAGAACTAAAACTATTTGTAGAAGACATGATCTTGTATACAGAAAATCCTAAGGACTCTACCAGAAAACTATTAGAACTATAAAAACAAGTTCAACAAGGTTACAGGATACAAGATCAAAATACGAAAATCAATTATATTTCTACATATTTGCAATGAACAATCCAAAAATAAAATTGAGAAGACAAATACATTATATCAGCATCAAAGAGGAAAAAATACTTAGCTATACAAAAAAGTGAAAGTTTTGGACACTGAAGACTACAAAACATTGTTGAAAGAAATTAAATAAGTCCTAAACAAATGGAAAGACATCCCATATTCATGGGCTGGAAGAATGACTAATTTTAAGATGACAGTACTTACTATATACATTGGTCTACAGAGTCAATGAAATCCCTATCAAATTTCCTGCTTTTTAAAGATAGAAACTGACAAGCTGATTCTAAAGTTGATTTATTATGAAAATGCAAAGAATCCAAAATACCCAAAACAATCTTAAATAGGACAAACAAAATAGGAGGGCTCAGACTTCTCAATTCAAAATTTACTACAAAACTATAATATTGGAGATAGTGTGGTACTGGTATAAGAATAGATATGCAGATCAATGGAGTAAAATTGAAGGTACAAAAATAAACTCTTACAGAGAGAGCAGATAGCAGAAGCAAGAAGAATTACAATCTTGCAGCCTGTGGAACAAAAACCACATTCACAGAAAGATAGATAAGATGAAAAGGCTATGTACCAGATGAAGGAACAAGATAAAACCCCAGAAAAACAACTAAATGAGGTGGAGATAGGCAACCTTCCAGAAAAAGAATTCAGAATAATGATAGTGAAGATGATCCAGGACCTCAGAAAAAGAATGGAGGCAAAGATCGAGAATATGCAAGAAATGCTTAACAAAGACCTAGAAGAATTAAAGAACAAACAAATAGAGATGAGCAATAAAATAACTGAAATGAAAACTACACTAGAAGGAATCAATAGCAGAATAACTGAGGCAGAAGAACGGATAAGTGACCTGGAAGACAGAATGATGGAATTCACTGCTGCGGAACAGAATAAAGAAAAAAGAAATGCAAAGAAATGAAGACAGCCTAAGAGACCTCTGGGACAGCATTAAATGCAACAACATTCGCATTATAGGGGTCCCAGAAGGAGAAGA